TTAAGCTCTTTGTGCTTGTGTGTTAACCAAGGATGAGAGGGGTATTTATAGGCCTCAAGTGGATTTAAACTTGGAGCCTAAAAGTATCCCATCCTTGATTTTTGAGGTATTGACGGTACCATTGCCTGTGCTGGGCGGTATTACCGCCTGCAGCACTGACATTGGGCGGTACCATCTCCTGACACCTTGCCACTAGACGGTACTACCGTTTGATAGTCTCTTGAAGACTGTGTCTGGATGAAATCATCATCTAACATAGTCTCAGAGATTATGTCACGACGGTTCCACTTGTTGGATCACTGTTTGGGCCTTTCACTTAGTCTAACAGAGCCTAAACTTTGGCCCAACTGACCCCTAATTGAGTTGGCTCAATACCAACCCAATTACATCTAAAATCTATTTCGATCTAGACAATTATTACAAAGTTAAATCAAATATTGTTTAATATGTCATTGGTTCATCAACGCCTCGTCCGATTCTTTGGTTCATCATCCTTTTTTGTGGTCTATTGTCCAATCGGCCAGTTAACCTCCGCAACTCTGATTTCCTTAGCACAATTTTCACTCTTCTTGGCCCGATGCCCTATCCCATGGCCCGAGGTCTTCTATCAATACGTCGACCGATTCTTTGGCTCGACGTCTAATCTTCTAATATGTTCTACTCCAGCCCAACATGAATTTTCCTGTTTTAATTATCTCTCCCTGATCAAAGCTTTCTACATCACTCAAAACATAAATCAGATCATAAACACATCAATTAATTTTATTATCAAAATCTGAGATTTAACACTTATATGAGTCAAAAATTAGATTAGAAACTTAGATATAATGCTTCATTTCATTTACCATAAGCATATAGGTTACCTATTAAAAGACATGTTGTTAAGGTAAGGATCTTCTCAAATTTTAGTTGAGGATCCATCACTAATAATCTTGTGACACCCATCCTGTTAGTGAACTTAAGAATAGATCTAAAGGTTTGGAGGGCATTCTTGGTATTAAAAGGTTTCAAGGATGAATAGTCAATATTTGGAAAGAAAAAGTTTGATCCAAAGATTTTTATCATGGTTGAAAATAGGAGTAATGCGTTTAGTACATATAGCTTTTTTTTTAACAAGGACCAAGTCTCTTATACTCAATCGACCAAGAGACTCATGTTTTTCCAAGCAATAAGGTGCATTCTGCATTGGTTATACTTATCATTCCAGAAGACATCATGTGAGAGCTTGGAGAACGTAGCAAGCAACTCCTCAATTTTTCAGCTTGTGATAGCAAGGCTTTATGCCATCCTTAGATCTTATCAAGGGCTTTATCAATAAGAGAGTTTAAGTATCTATCAGAAAGTCTATTCCGGATAAGAAAGTACCTAGGGATTTGAATGGCCAATTACCTTCCTTGGTCCCTAGGGTGTTACAAATATGATATTTAGACCAAGTTTCACAGTGTATGAGTAAGATATTTGATTTGGATTGATTGACTTTTAGGAATTTTAAGGATTTTAGCATAAAATTTAGAATTAGCTTCGAAGGAAAGCAAAACGTTATCAACGAACATGAAGTATAAAATTCTAGTGCCCTTAATATTGAAAGGGATGATCTGGTTATTGTTGATAGCATTGGTAATCATAAAGAAATGCAATTTTCAGACTGATATAAAAATATATAGAGAGAGAGGATATCTTTACCTAATTCTTTGTGAACTCTAAACTAGTAAGATTTCTCCTTACTAATTAAGTAAATAAAAATAAAAAAGAAATATAAGCCAACACCCAAAGGATAAATTTGTCTAGAAAGTTCATTAGGCAAAGAATGTTAGTAATGATATCCTATAAAATAGAGTTAAGGACTTTTTCAATATCCAGCTTAAGGAGAATAAGAGGGATTTTGCTTTTAGACATTCAGAGAATACACTAGTTCATTTGTAATAAGATATTATCATGAATGTCTCCTCTTGATGAAGATCAAATATTCTTCATATAGTTTTAAGACTATTTGAGAGGATATTTATGTGAATTTTATAAATTAGGTTATAAAGTATGATCCCAATTATCAAGGAGAGAAAGAGAGTTATGGAACTTATTGAAAGAATTTAAAAGAAGGTTATCTTTAAGATCATTCGAGAATCCCCGAAAAACTCAACATTAAACCTGTTCAAATCTGAGCCATTTTCAAAGCCCATCTAGAAAATAGTATTTTTTTTATCTCCATAATAGTAAAAGATTGAATAAGGGAACTATGATATGATCCATTTAAATATAGAAGAGGGGGGCAAAGTTTTCAATCAGGTTAGGAAGCGAAAAGAGAAAATATTCATAAGTCAAAATATCAAGTGAAAAAATGAAGAATAAATTTAGTATCCTAGTAAATAGAGTTATTAAAGTCCTTGATATAATGAATCTAGTTTTTATGTATTTAAGAATTTAGTATTTCTATTGTCTTCATAAATTTATTGAGTTTTGACCTTAGTCCAATATTTTCAATTAGAGTTGTCTATCTATTTATGATAATAAATTTGTTTGAAAGGCACATAAGGCTAATACTCTCATGACCTATTGGACTCTTTCTACTCCAAGTGAGCAATGTCCTAAATGATGATTTTGATTTGGTGTTCAAATTTCCTACCATTAGAGTGAGTCTAATGGAAAATGTTAGTTAGTGATAAGAAAATGAAAACACAAGTAAAAGTTAGCTTACCTTCTCAGTGTATATTAGTGACAAAGATCTTGAAGTTTGTGTTAAAGAGTCAATAGGAGTTAAATTTATAATCTTAGGAATTTCTCTTAAACTTAGGGAGATGACCAATTTTAACAAAGAGAGATAAATGATCCTAGGATTGTGAAGGATTTAAATATTAAAAAGAATTAAAAATTTTGATACCCAATAAGAATTAAAAAGGACGGTGTCCAATCTAGCAATAACTCGAGAAATAATAAATCATTTTTTACACATAATATATTTCGAGCTAGAGAAATTAGCATCCGAAAGATTATTATTAAAATAAATTATTTGAAATCTAAGGCTAAAGGAGAAAATACGACAAGATGACCACCCATCTTTTCATCATCCAAAAATATAATGTTTATATCATCATACAAAAACCACGAAATAAAGGCTAGATCTAAGGCAAAAAAACATTCTTCATAAAGCACTTCGAACATAAGGAATGGCACTAGCATGGATGGTGGAAAAGAGCCATGAATATACACTTTCTTCCTTAATAATTATACCATTCGCTTATCAATTTTTATACACCAAAGTGATACTTTGAGTTTGTAGGGTTTTCATACCACCAATGGTCCCTCGGGCTAACCTTTAATAGCTGGAAAGACCTCACATCATGATTGACCTACTAGTCATTAGTGTTCTACAAGTCAATTAAATGAGTGATGACACGTATGACATGATGCGTATTTTTTTACTTATTATATTTTGATATTTATTACTTTATATATATAT